ATGTCTGGACTTCAACTCCCAGAACTGGAGTTGAAGTCCAGACATCTTAAAGTTGACAAGGTTGAGAAACACTGCTCTAATTGGACTATGTCATCGGAATTCTGGAAAGCCAGTTTCTGATTGGATCTTCCTCCAGGTGAATTTGTAATTGGTCTGAGTTGAAGAAGGGATTGTAATTCCACATTCCAAATTAAAAACAACCTGAGGTCATACCTGGGCTGCAAAACTCTTGAGGACAACTTGCGGCCGTCCAGATTTTGGCAACCCAATATGGTAGCTCAACTGTAATCCATCTTTCCTAAATGGAAATATTTCTTGCAAGCTAACTTAAAAACAATGAAGCTGTCATTCAAAATTCTTACCTTGCTGTTATGACGAAGCAATTTTGCTCCCTTTTTTCCTCAGAGATAGGACAATAGGGTCTGAGTTGGCACAGTTGATGAATAACATTATTGGTCTTTTTTTTTTTTTTAATTTCCTGAGGCAGTCACCCTCCACTGCTAAATTCATAAGAAATGAACGGCGGGGCAGTTTGATCTGATGTGCTTGGCAGTGAAAGCAACGTTATAAACCAATGTAATTGCAAAGCAAGTGATAAAACTGTCTTTGCAATAGCTGGCGTTGTATATTTCCAGGTTCTGATCCTATAATATCCATCAGCTGCTTGTGCTTGGCGTTATTAGTTTCTTGGCATCTGCTTGATCTATCGCTATCAGCCACGCTGCTGAGGCTGCATATCAAACGGGGCCTGTCGGGGTTTGGGTGATCAGCTTGTGCTCTTCTCCAATTTCCTGTCACTTCCCAGCTACCTCAGCAGTTACCTGTATATTTGTCATGCTCCAAATGGTGGATTGAAAAGGCCTTGTGCCCGGGCAAGGGAAGCTACCGGTAGAGAGACAGAGACATGTTGATATACAGAATTAAAAACTGGTGGGTATTATATGCAGCTAAAACCTGAACATGAAGTGGTGTAGGGAAGAGAACGGCTCACAATAACAAGTGACATGCCCAGCCATGCCTTCCCTCCTTTTTTCCTTCCTTCCTGCTTCTGTAAATGGAGCTGAACTGTTCTTTTCCCGCTCACTGGGAAGAGAGCGCATTTGTGTTTGTATCCTTAGGCCATCAGATACAAGCCACTTGCTCAGAAGTGGCCCAAATGTTCAGTGAAATGAATTAGGGTCTGGAAGGAACCATGAACTGATTCACCCATCTATTCTACATATTCTACACATGTGAAAAAGCACCATCGCAACACAGTGTTGACACATTAGTCTAGAGGCTACCCTCCCCAAACTGGAGCTTTTAATCAAGAGACCACTCTTGGGACTTGAAGAAGGATGCATGATACAGT